TTTGCAGTATCCATGGCAGCCTGGGCCCCAGCACTCGCGGTGGAATTGATGCTATCGCCTAAGTACTGTCTGTTAAGGAAACAAAATGGCCTCCACCATCAGGGATAGGAGGCATTTATTATTCTTTCCACTTCAACGTCATCAGAAAATGGTGGGTGATTTTGTATTTTTATGAACAAAATATCCTGGAATTCCAAGCTTTTTTTCCTCCTCAAATGTCTACTCCTGAACCAGGAAAGGGCATTCGATTGTGGAAGGGAAAGCTGTTGTCTCGATTCCAAGGCATAATAACTTTATTTACCTAGAATGCATGTCACTTGCTTGTAAGTTCATTACTCTTTCCTGACCATTAACCAATGAGAGAGGTTAATATATACTGTACATTGGCCATTCGGCAGGGGAGGCATTTACTGTAGATCAGCCCCAGAGGTGAAGGTCATAGGATGGTTCATTGTGAAACTACACTGTTTAATTGGTCTCTCGAGGATGCAGGCTGTCATGTAAACAGGAAGTAGATCTTGGTTGTTCAGGTGTCTCAATGCTATCTAATTACCATCATTACTTGCATGAACCAAAGTTGTTTCTTCAGTGTTTAATTATGCAGTTATAACTTTAAATCTTGCACTCAATGACGAAAGAGTTTTAGATTTTATTTGTACTCTCTGAAGTTCTCTGGATAAAAAAAACTGTCTGTCATTAACTTTGAGTGCAGCACTCAGTAATGATGTAGTTAGTTTCAGTAGGCTAATCAGTAATGATGGGGGATTGAAGCTTTGAGACATGTCATATCCTGACCCCATGACATCTCTCCAAAAAAGCGACTACTTGATTGGAAAACTATTGACAGTGAAATATAGCTCAGCCCTTTATGGAGCATGCATGTGCCCTGTCACCCTTTGACCCAACCTCATCAGTAAACCCTATACCAACCCATTAACCTCAGGATATTTTCTTCACTTGTATTTTTGGGCATCACACTGGGCTGAGAACCCCCTGTGAGATAGACCACCTGCTGTGTCCATTTACTAGGACCAGACCAAAGTCTACATACAGTATATTTACAGTACACTATCTACATTATTGTTAATAATACTGTAGAAATATACTGAACAAGGGACCTGTTTCCCAGAAACAGATTAGGCCTGCTCCTGGACTAAACAGTACTTTAAATGGAGACTAAACAGTACTTTAAAAACTTTTAGTTAAAATACAGTTTACGCTTTGTCTGTGTCTGTGATTAGGGCTACTCCTGGACGGACCAAAAATCCCAATGGTTGGATATCAGTTATTGAAGAACACGTGTGGAGGTCAAATATCACTAAGGACTACTTATCCCATGTCCCAAATGCAGCGCTGTACGTTAGAAATTTGTGTCTCTGCCTGCGGAGTTAGGACAAGAGTAGAAACTAACATAAAATGTTACCAGTCAAACTCTCCAAATATGTCCCTTGGTCTTCTGATGAACCACATTCTCAGAGAGAAACACGTGCCTATGAGAGCAGCAGTACAGTATTCGCTTTCAGAACACCTCCCTTTAGCTGTGCTTGTGAGACCTTGCCGTTTAGCATATACAATAGCCCACTATTTACCTGGAATCTACACTGATATTGCTCTGTTTCAGGCTCTTTACACGAGACATGGAAAGCCTTTTGAGAGATGAGTCTCACCCTTTTAGAGCCTGTGTGAGTGTCAGCTGCAAACAGTTGATTTTGGTGCTGTGTGTGCAGAAGAATTCTCTGGGGACTGAAGTACATTTCCATGACACTCACTGGCTGTATGTGCAGTAGCAACAGCACCAATTGACGGCTTCACAAGACCATGAGAGTGCTATATAAACATTCAGATGGCTAACATGATATAGAACTCTGAAGTAACAACAAGAAGAACACCATTGGCATGTTTGTGTAGTAGTTATGAAGTTACGAAAACCAACGAGAATTGTGATTGTTGAGTATGTCTGTCCTGCATTTCGCAATCTCAGGTGATCACATGATTGAAAGGCAAAAGTGGTCTCGTCTTATCTGCAATGCCCCAGAGAGAGTGTGGTACGTAACCCGGGTAATGATCCATACTATCAGCCATGTTTTTGTTGGATTTTACAAAATACCGCGATGAAGGCATTCACCGAAACGCGTCGGTTTTAACAATGAAATGATTTCATTGAAATTGTTATTTTTGAAGCAAACTCCCATTGCCCTTCAAAGAGTTGCTGATCTTCTCATCTACAGTACTCCCAGAGCACAGTGTGTACAGGAGTGACTGGGAAGGCCTTGTCTTGGACCTTGCCGTGCTGCCGTGCACATTCCTGGATGTCTTGGTCTGCCAACCAAAGCCCCTCGATTCGCTCTGCCCACCTCCCTCCCACAGTGCTATCCGTGCCAAAGAATACACCCCTGGGGGAAACAGGTGGAGATTAAAGACTAAATGACCCCACCCCCCACCACCAGCCAAAAATATTTCCTATCCGGGTTTTGATACTGGGCATAATCAAAGTTCAAAGGGAGTTCAGGCCGCCCTTGATAAACAGGCTGGATATAGCGTAACGGTCTTGGCAATGCCGCTGTGCTCAGATGCTGGGTGTACACAGAGCGCTCAGGAGACTGATGGAGAGGAATTCAATAAGACAGCCAAAGGCGAGGTTCATGTGGGCCAGTGCATTATACAGATTGCCAAACAGAGGCTAGGAATGCATGCAGCCACTGGACCCCAAGTCATGTGACCACTGTCAACCATAATCAGTATTCCCTGTCATTATGGGGCAATAGGGAGTGGGTTTGCAGCAACTTTCTAGCATTGAAATTCATAAAGCTTTATTGTCCAGCTGATTTACATGAGATGGAGAATTGTCTTTGGCATGTGGCTCATAAAACACAACACATTCCAAAGTTCTCTCTTTGTGGTAGTTGATGTGAATTGGTCCTTTCATCTTGAGAAATGGAGTAAGGCCGAAGTAATTCACCTGTTCATCCTGTATTTATTTTCTAACTATATTCCCAGCTCTCTAGTAGATTTATAATAATATGAAAATAATGTTTTTAATGAAAATGTCATTATTTTTATAAATATGTTGGCAAACGTTTTATAAAGACAATAAGGCGCTCAAACCCTGTAGTCTTCTCCTTGGACATCAGAACAGCCCTTAGTCGGGAGTTATCACACGATAATCCAAACCCTGTAGTCTTCTCCTTGGACATCAGAACAGCCCTTAGTCGGGAGTTATCACACGATAATCCAAACCCTGTAGTCTTCTCCTTGGACATCAGAACAGCCCTTAGTCGGGAGTTATCACACGATAATCCAAACCCTGTAGTCTTCTCCTTGGACATCAGAACAGCCCTTAGTCGGGAGTTATCACACGATAATCCAAACCCTGTTGTCTTCTCCTTGGACATCAGAACAGCCCTTAGTCGGGAGTTATCACACGATAATCCCCGGGTTCTCATGCCTTATTGCTTAAATGTATATAGAGAACAAGGATCAAAAACAGTCTCCGAAAGCTGACATTTCCCGAGACCCATTTTCAGATTCACCAGTGACCAGCCAGTCTTGCAGTAAATGTAGCTTGCTTCAATGTAAAGTCGTATATTACACCCCATGGTTTCTGACGTAGCACACACCGCTCTGGTGATGATGGACAGCTAAACAAAAAGCTCAAGGTTTGTCGCTCTGCATGAGGGAAATGGTGGTCACACCAGATACCAGATCCACGCCCCTACTTTTTTTTAAAAGGTGTCTGTGACCAACAGAAGCATATCTGTATTCCCAGTCATGTGAAATCCATAGATCAGGGCCTAATGAATTTCCTTCAATTGACTGATTTCAGAATATGAACTGTAATTCAGTAAAATCTTAGAAATTGTTGCATGCGTTTTAAGATTTTTGTTCAGTGTAGTATTTAGTATTTACATAGTATACTTTTCCAAGTGCTCAACGTCATTTCGACTATAAAAGTGGAGGGAAGACTCACCACGCTTGTAAGTCACTTCCTGTTCACGAATACCCTATTTCCTGTGTATTGGGATAGCTGAAAGGTGTAGCTACAGAGAGACAGTCCAGGCGTGGATACAGCTCACCTAGCGGACTCGCTGATATGATGTGAGCGGCCGCATTGTCGCCAAAAGGTGGGAGACGCATCAGTCATCTTTCTCCCATTGGTGAAACAGGTTTGATATGACAGCTCGGGCAGTGTAACCTTGAGGTGTGTTTATAGAACTGTAACTCTCATGTAGCTCAGACCAACATAGGGACGCGAGTGGTGATGGAAGACTACATAGAAGAGAACAAAGGTGCAATGTCATGCGGCCATGGATCCTTCACTGTAGATCAAGCAGAAACACTCACTGCTGAACAGTTATTCAAGCGTTTCTCTGGAAATATGTTAAAACAATTTGTGTCACTATCAATCACAAGGAAAGGGATATATAGTGTACTGTAATTCAGCAGGAAAAACAGCAATTCAATCATAAACTGAAGAAAAACTGAAATTATAACATTGTGCTTTACATTATTTCATTTAGCTCAAAAACAACTAATACAATAATCTAATGTCATCAGGCAGATGTAATTTCTCTTATACACATCAATGTACAGTATGTAAATATCCTATACTGTAACTCTAGCTAGTGTACACTAGCTGGTTGACTTATTTCAAGTGTAGTTTGAAGATGGGCAGAACACCTTGGGCATGGGCAGATCAGTCAATCAGAGAAACTTCTGTTTTCGCCACAAAAAAAGTAGCTAACTTGCCCTAAGCAGGAAACCAAAAATGCCTCCTTCCCTCACTCTGACTCTATTCTGACCCTAACCCAGCGCAAGGACTTTTGGTTAGCAAACCAGGCAGCGTCTCAGAAGACCGAGCAACAGTCAGAAGTTCAAAGGTCATCAGACTCTGGGATAAACATGGGATCCAGGTGCATTGTGGGGAGGATGAGGGAGGCGCTGGCCCCCGCCTAGCCGCAGGCTACCCTGTTGAATGCGGGCCTCTGCACCGCAGGCTCCACCTAGGGCTCTGGGTACAGCTCTGGCATGGGGTTGTGTTCCATCTCGGGGACCTTGAACAACGGAGCCGGTCTGGTGGACTTGCCACCGAATGGGGTAGCCAACCTGGAGATGGATAGAGGATTGACAATGTTAATATTAGCCTTGAGCCACTAACGAGGCAGACGGGAAGTGACAGATTGACTGAGTCATCTCATCAAAGAGTATAAGCCTCTGGCTGGAGGACATGTGCTGTTGACATGTTGTGACTCATATAAAGGAATACTAGTCAAAAGTTTGGACACACCTACTCATTCAAGGGTTTTTCTTTATTTTTACTATTTTCTACATTGTAGAATAATAGTGAAGACATCAAAACTATGAAATAACACATATGGAATCATGTAGTAACAAATCAAAATATATTTTATATTTGAGATTCTTCAAATAGCCACCATTTGCCTTGATGACACCTTTGCACACTCTTGGCATTCTCTCAACCAGCTTCACCTGGAATGCTTTTCCAAAAGTCTTGAAGGAGTTCCCAAATATGCTGAGCACTTGTTGGCTGCTTTTCCTTCACTCTGCGGTCCGACTCATTCCAAACCATCTCAATTGGGTTGAGGTTGGGGGATTGTGGAGGCCAGGACATCTGATGCAGCACTCCATCACTCTCCTTCTTGGTAAAATAGCCCTTACACAGCCTGGAGGTGTGTTGAGTTATTGTCCTGTTGAAAAACAAATGATAGTCTACTAATCTCAAACCAGATGGGATGGCGTATCGCTGCAGAATGCTGTAGTAGCCATGCTGGTTAAGTGTGCGTTGAATTCTATATGAATCACAGACAGTGTCACCAGCAAAGCACCCCCACACCATAACAACTCCTCCTCCATGCTTTACGTTGGGAAATACACATGCGGAGATCATCCGTTCACCCACACCGCATCTCACAAAGACACGGCGGTTGGAACCAAAAATCTCAAATTTGGACTCCAGACCAAAGGACACATTTCCACCGGTCGAATGTCCATTGCTTGTGTTTCTTGGCCCAAGCAAGTCCCTTCTTCTTATTGGTGTCCTTTAGTAGTGGTTTATTTGCAGCAATTTGACCATGAAGGCCTGATTTAACACAGTCCCCTCTGAACAGTTGATGTTGAGTTGTGTCTGTTACTTGAACTCTGTGAAGCATTTATTTGGACTGCAATTTCTGAGGCTGGTAACTGTAATGAACTTATCCCCTGCAGCAGAGGTAACTCTGGGTCTTCCATTCCTGTAGCGGTCCTCATGAGAGCTAGTTTCATCATAGCACTTGATGGTTTTTGTGACTGCACTTGAAGACACTTTCAAAGTTCTTGAAATGTTCTGTATTGACTGACCTTCGTGTCTTAAAGTAATGATGGACCGTCGTTTCTCTTTGCTTATTTGAGCTGTTCTTGCCATAATATGGACTTGGTCTTTTACCAAATAGGGCTATCTACTGTATACCCCCACCCCCCCCACACACCTTGTCACAACACAACTGATTGGCTCAAACGCATTAAGAGGGAAATAAATTCCACAAATTAACTTTTTAAGGCACGCCTGTTAATTGAAATGCATTCCAGGTGACTATCTCATGAAGCTGGTTGAGAGAATGCCAAAAGTGTGCAAAGCAGTCATCAAGGCAAAGGGTGGCAATTTGAAGAATCTCAAATTATTTTGATTTGTTTAACACTTTTTTGGTTACTACATGAATCCATATGTGTTATTTAATAGTTTTGATGTCTTCACTATTATTCTACAATGTAAAAATTTGTAAAAATAAAGAAAAACCCTTGAATGAGTAGGTGTTCTAAAACTTTTGACTGGTAGTGTATATGGTCCTTACTACTATTCATATGAATATCATGGAGTTACTTTCTGGTCTTGTTATGAAGATAAGTGGCCATCATGTTTGTCTGCCTCTAGCGTCTCTTTTTTGGGGGGGACCCCTCACGCGCCACACAGTTTGGGAACCACTGCGCTAGGCTACCAGCCGTCCCTCAGTCAGCTCTGTCAGCTGAGCCAAGGCTTAAACCTCCATTGCCGTGGGGGCATAATTTGTCTAGGGTCAGGAGTGTTACCGCTACGCCCAACTCCGGCACGACAAGTACTATTTCAACCTAGGTGTGGTCCTGGACAGGTCCATCATCAGCCATACCTGTTGAAGCTCTTGTACCCTGGTCCTTCAGGCTTGGCCTCTGGCTCTGGCAGGCGGGTGGCAAGGCTATTGGCCAGGGAGGGGTCGTGGAGGTAGATGGCCTGGTCCCAGGGGGAGTGGTAGGACTTGGGGAGGCATGTGCTGTTGAACTTCTCTGGTTCCATTTCTTTTAGAAGTCCACCATAACCTGGGCGAAAGAGGGGGAGAGAGAATCTGGTGTAAGGGCCCTGAGACTCCACATAACCTTGCTTCGGTTAAAGTTTGTCAAATTGGTAGAAGTTGAGAGCGGGAGAGGAAGAATGAAAGGGAGAGGTGGGGAGGGAGAGCTAGACATAGAAATAGGGAAGAAAGAGAGGCAGTGAGAAACTGCATAACAGAGAGATGGTGTAATGATTTCACAATGACGTTTGAGGCATCTATCAGATCAAATACAGTACTCCCAACCTGATTTTTGTCCAACACAAACCTCAATATAAACCCTGTGCAGCACTGCATGGGTCCTCCCTGTATGGTCAAAAATATGGTTAAGTTTCGCAGTGAACCAACATGAAGGACATTTTTACTGTGTAGTGTAAGGGTGACAGGGAAGGCCTATCAAATAAGTATCCTTCAAAACGAGTGTTCTTCGCCAGGGGTGCCTGGCGAGCACATGTGTTACGTAACGTTGGGTGTTGCTGTGTCACGTCCAATCCATTTACAACGAACAAACCCTTTTCCTGAGTTGATGTTTTCCCAAGGAGGAAATGAGAAAGACCAAACATTGTCCCCTAAGGGGAAGTTCTGCTGTTTTTTTGGGGAACTTCCTTCACAAACGCAAACCACAAGATTTACTCGGGCCACGGAAAGTGTTCACGTGCATGGCTGCGCATTTGGCAGCATTTGGCTGCTCCAATGTGTTGTGGGAAATGTACTGTGACTGCCGCACTGCAGGAAACACTGGGGGTTGGGGGTGATAAGAGCGAGATCATTGTATAAGTGACATGGGGTTAAGGCATGGTAGATATAGACAACAAGGCTAGAGACAAAGCTTTGACTCCATGTTTGAAGCATTGTTCCAAATGTGAAACAACCGCATCTTCTCATGTTCGTGTCATGATCTCAAGCCAGTCCGTCAGACAGACCCACACCACCAGAGGGATAAGATATTTGGGTAGCACTTTACATTACAGCAATGAATAAAGTGGTACCATGGTGATAACATGGTAGCATTACATATCTATTACCACTATATTACCATAATATTAGCCCTTTACTGCACTCTGTAATGTAAAGTGCTATCGATATGGGTATATCAGTGGTGTAACATTACAGCACAATAGTCTGATTTCGGTGCAGTGATTATTCGGTAGGCAGCATTTTCTTGCTTCCCTATTTCCTTGCTTCCCTATTCACACTATTCAACAAGCCATTAGACACCCAAAAGTGAAACATCTGGGTCCATGTCTTGGCTACTTCAAGAGTCATTACACTTGTGACATTCGATACCCTTTGACCCCATTTCTCGGCTACTGTAATTGCTGTGTCCACTGACTTCTCCGCCGACTCCCTCTCAAGGTGGTGGTGTAGTCGTATGTTCCCAAAATAGCATCACAAACTGTCTACCATGTACTCATCTGCTAAACTGGTATCCATATTATGTTGACGGGACTGGATCAGGAGGGCGAGCATGATCTGAGCGTCTATCTCTTCCTGATGATATCAGAGGACAGCGAGCAGGGGACACAGGAAATACTCTGCGGATTTCCTGTGGAGGAAACTTGTTATCAAACTATGCCCAAGGTCGCTGTAAAAGGGGAGGGAAGGGGGAGAATGGATAGATGCAGAGAGTGAGGGAGAGATCCACAGAGAAAGAGCGAGAGGGAGAACAAGGAGAAAGAGAAAGAGAAAGACTGCTCCTGCCCTGGAGCCAGAAGACTCCACACAAGGATCATGTTTTCCCCCATGAAGGATGCCTAAGAACAAAAACATGCAATGGAATTAATAAAATGCCAAAACAATGAAGACTATCCCCACGCCTTAGCAAAACATTTCATAGTTTGCAAGGGAGCAAGGTGTAGCTATGACCATATTACTTAATACAAGTAAAATCCTGTCTAGGGGGTAAGGGGCTAGGGTTAGTTTTTTTAAAGGACATAAGGCCAGGGATATTCTCACCAGGCGGCATAACTTTTAATTTGGCCCAAGGCTTTGAGCTCTGTGCCCGATGCAGCTGCTCCATCATACGTTTTCAACTGGCCATGGCTTGATGACTCCAACATCACCGGCTCACCTGCGCTTGTATACAGTGGGGGAAAAAAGTATTTAGTCAGCCACCAATTGTGCAAGTTCTCCCACTTAAAAAGATGAGAGAGGCCTGTAATTTTCATCATAGGTACACGTCAACTATGACAGACAAATTGAACATTTTTTTTCAAGAAAATCACATTGTAGGATTTTTTAATGAATTTATTAGCAAGTTATCGTGGAAAATAAGTATTTGGTCACCTACAAACAAGCAAGATTTCTGGCTCTCACAGACCTGTAACTTCTTCTTTAAGAGGCTCCTCTGTCCTCCACTCGTTACCTGTATTAATGGCACCTGCTTGAACTTGTTATCAGTATAAAAGACACCTGTCCACAACCTCAAACAGTCACACTCCAAACTCCACTATGGCCAAGACCAAAGAGCTGTCAAAGGACACCAGAAACAAAATTGTAGACCCGCACCAGTTTGGGAAGACTGAATCTGCAATAGGTAAGCAGCTTGGTTTGAAGAAATCAACTGTGGGAGCAATTATTAGGAAATGGAAGACATACATGACCACTGATTATCTCCCTCGATATGTAAGTCGCTCTGGATAAGAGCGTCTGCTAAATGACGTAAATGTAAATCTGGGGCTCCACGCAAGATCTCACCCCGTGGGGTCAAAATGATCACAAGAACGGTGAGCAAAAATCCCAGAACCACACGGGGGGACCTAGTGAATGACCTGCAGAGAGCTGGGACCAAAGTAACAAAGCCTACCATCAGTAACACACTACGCCGCCAGGGACTCAAATCCTGCAGTGCCAGACGTGTCCCCCATCTTAAGCCAGTACATGTCCAGGCCCGTCTGAAGTTTGCTAGAGTGCATTTGGATGATCCAGAAGAGGATTGGGAGAATGTCATATGGTCAGATGAAACCAAAATAGAACTTTTTGGTAAAAACTCAACTCGTCGTGTTTGGAGGACAAAGAATGCTGAGTTGCATCCAAAGAACACCATACCTACAGTGAAGCATGGGGGTGGAAACATCATGCTTTGGGGCTGTTTTTCTGCAAAGGGACCAGGACGACTGATCCGTGTAAAGGAAAGAATGAATGGGGCCATGTATCGTGAGATTTTGAGTGAAAACCTCCTTCCATTGAAGATGAAACGTGGCTGGGTCTTTCAGCATGACAATGATCCCAAACACACCGCCTGGGCAACGAAGGAGTGGCTTCGTAAGAAGCATTTCAAGGTCCTGGAGTGGCCTAGCCAGTCTCCAGATCTCAACCCCATAGAAAATCTTTGGAGGGAGTTGAAAGTCTGTGTTGCCCAGCGACAGCCCCAAAACATCACTGCTCTAGAGGAGATCTGCATGGAGGAATGGGCCAAAATACCAGCAACAGTTTGTGAAAACCTTGTGAAGACTTATAGAAAACGTTTGACCTGTGTCATTGCCAACAAAGGGTATATAACAAAGTATTGAGAAACTTTTGTTATTGACCAAATACTTATTTTCCACCATAATTTGCAAATAAATTCATTAAAAATCCTACAATGTGATTTTCAGGAGAAAAAAAATCTCATTTTGTCTGTCATAGTTGACGTGTACCTATGATGAAAATTACAGGCCTCTCTCATCTTTTTAAGTGGGAGAACTTGCACAATTGGTGGCTGACTAAATACTTTTTTCCCCCACTGTAAATCATGCTAATGACTCCACTGACATCCAGGTTACTGAGTCGTAGGGGTCATTAGTTTAGAGTAGAGGTTATGTCACAGTAGCAGCACCCACCTGTTTTCTGGGTTGGGGGCGGTGATTGGGTCAGGCGTGTTCGGGGGCGTTTTAGAATGTACCACTCCCAAGCTGTTGCTTTCTGTGGATTCTTGACTTTGCGTTTGAAGAGTTACACCATTCTAAGGGGAAAGCGAGAGAGGAAGGGAGGGATGGATGGAGGGAAAGGGAGGGAGAGAGACAGTTTAGAGCAAAGGTCATAGAGAGGGGGACAGAAAGAGAAAGCGGAGATGGGGAGAGCGATGGAGAGGTCAGTGAGTGTCTTTATGTAGAGCCAGTAACATAAGTAGCATTGTTTTCTCATGTTTGAATATCCTGTGCTGTGGTCCAGAGTGGGTAACTTTCATCCTCCCAGAGATATTTGTAGTAATGTATGCCAGGACTTCCTCAGGAAATGTTGACAACTTGAAATACATTTCCCTTTGCCCCAAAAGGTGAACAAACGGGGACTGCAAGATCAAACTATTTTAATTTAGAGTTTTAATCATTTAAATAGATTCAGTGTTAATATATTCCAAACAACCTTAAAATGTACAGGTAACTGCCAAAATAAAGGAAACACCAATATAGTGTCTTAATAGAGTGTTGGGGCCACCACGAGCCAGAACAGCTTCAATGCGCCTTGGCATAGAGTTCCAGACACTTGGAGAATCTATTGGATTCGTCCATGAGAAATTCCATAATTTGGTGTTGTGTTGATGGTGGTGGAAAACACTGTCTCTGGCGCTGCTCCAGAATCTTCCATAAGTGTTCAATTGGGTTGAGATCTGGTGACTGCGACACACACACACAGCCTTTAAACCCCCTATGCTCCTTTGAGACGCCTCTTTCAAAGTCACTGAGATCTCATCTTCTAGCCATGGTAGCCAAAATAATGGGAAACTGGGCATTTTTATACATGACCCTAAGCATGATGGGATGTTAATTGATTCATTATCTCAGGAACCACACCTGTGTGGAAGCACCTCATTTCAATATACTTTGTATCCCTCATTTACTCAAGTGTTTCCTTTTATTTTGGCAGTTGCCTGTATGTCTGTGTGTACAGTGGGGGAAAAAAGTATTTAGTCAGCCACCAGTTGTGCAAGTTCTCCCACTTAAAAAGATGAGAGAGGCCTGTAATTTTCATCATAGGTACACGTCAACTATGACAGACAAAATGAGATTTTTTTTTCCTGAAAATCACATTGTAGGATTTTTAATGAATTTATTTGCAAATTATGGTGGAAAATAAGTATTTGGTCAATAACAAAAGTTTCTCAATACTTTGTTATATACCCTTTGTTGGCAATGACACAGGTCAAATGTTTTCTGTAAGTCTTCACAAGGTTTTCACACACTGTTGCTGGTATTTTGGCCCATTCCTCCATGCAGATCTCCTCTAGAGCAGTGATGTTTTGGGGCTGTCGCTGGGCAACACAGACTTTCAACTCCCTCCAAAGATTTTCTATGGGGTTGAGATCTGGAGACTGGCTAGGCCACTCCAGGACCTTGAAATGCTTCTTACGAAGCCACTCCTTCGTTGCCCGGGCGGTGTGTTTGGGATCATTGTCATGCTGAAAGACCCAGCCACGTTTCATCTTCAATGCCCTTGCTGATGGAAGGAGGTTTTCACTCAAAATCTCACGATACATGGCCCCATTCATTCTTTCCTTTACAAGGATCAGTCGTCCTTGTCCCTTTGCAGAAAAACAGCCCCAAAGCATGATAATTCCACCCCCATGCTTCACAGTAGGTATGGTGTTCTTTGGATGCAACTCAGCATTCTTTGTCCTCCAAACACGACGAGTTGAGTTTTTACCAAAAAGTTATATTTTGGTTTCATCTGACCATATGACATTCTCCCAATCCTCTTCTGGATCATCCAAATGCACTCTAGCAAACTTCAGACGGGCCTGGACATGTACTGGCTTAAGCAGGGGGACACGTCTGGCACTGCAGGATTTGAGTCCCTGGCGGCGTAGTGTGTTACTGATGGTAGGCTTTGTTACTTTGGTCCCAGCTCTCTGCAGGTCATTCACTAGGTCCCCCCGTGTGGTTCTGGGATTTTTGCTCACCGTTCTTGTGAAAAAAAATCTCAATTTGTCTGTCATAATTGACGTGTACCTATGATGAAAATTACAGGCCTCTCTCATCTTTTTAAGTGGGAGAACTTGCACAATTGGTGGCTGACTAAATACTTTTTTCCCCCACTGTATACAGCCTCAAACAACTAGCTCTCAGAGGAAGTGTCCTGTATGGGATTTCTAAATGGTAAGTAACAGATTGGACTCTCGGTTTCAATTAGTTTGCAAGGTACAGTATATGGGGAAATGTCCCTATTTGGTCTGAGTAGCATTCAGCTAGTTCTAAAGTAGACTCTAGGGCCTAAAGTAGACACTAGGGCCTAAAGTAAACACTATGGCCTAAAGTAGATACTAGGACCTAAAGTAGACACTAGGGCCTAAAGTAGACTCTAGGGGACACTAGGGCCTAAAGTAGACTCTAGGGTCTAAAGTAGACACTAGGGCCTAAAGTAGACTCTAGGGCCTAAAGTAGACACTAGGGCCTAAAGAAGACACTAGGGCCTAAAGAAGACACTAGGGCCTAAAGTAGACTCTAGGGCCTAAAGTAGATTCTAGGACCTAAAGTAGACACTAGGGCCTAAAGGAGACACTACGGCCTAAAGGAGACACTAGGGCCTAAAGGAGACACTAGGGCGTAAAGTAGACATTAGGGCCTAAAGTAGACTCTAGGGCCTAAAGTAGACACTAGGGCGTAAAGTAGACACTAGGGCCTAAAGTAGACTCTAGGGCCTAAAGTAGACCCTAGGGCGTAAAGTAGACTCTAGGGCCTAAAGTAGACTCTAGGACCTAAATAAGACACTTGGGCCTATAGTAGTCTCTAGGGCCTAAAGTAGACTCTAGGGCCTAAAGTAGACACTAGGGCCTAAAGTAGACACTAGGGCCTAAAGTAGACACTAGGGCCTAAAGGAGACACTAGGGCCTAAAGTAGACACTAGGGCCTAAAGTAGACACTAGGGCCTAAAGTAGACTCTTGGGGACACTAGGGCCTAAAGTAGACACTAGGGCCTAAAGTAGACCCTAGGGCCTAAAGTAGACTCTAGGACCTAAATAAGACACTTGGGCCTATAGTAGTCTCTAGGGCCTAAAGTAGACACTAGGGCCTAAAGTAGACACTAGGGCCTAAAGTAGACACTAGGGCCTAAAGAAGACACTAGGGCCTAAAGAAGACACTAGGGCCTAAAGAAGACACTAGGGCCTATAGTAGTCTCTAGGGCCTAAAGTAGACTCTAGGGCCTAAGGTAGATAATAGGGCCTAAAGTAGACACTAGGGCCTAAAGTAGACACTAGGGCCTAAAGTAGACACTAGGGCCTAAAGGAGACACTAGGGCGTAAAGTAGACTCTAGGGCCTAAAGTAGACTCTAGGGCCTAAAGTAGACTCTAGGGCCTAAAGTAGACTCTAGGACCTAATTAAGACAATTGGGCCTATAGTAGTCTCTAGGGCCTAAAGTAGACTCTAGGGCCTAAAGTAGACACTAGTGCCTAAAGTAGACACTAGTGCCTAAAGGAGACACTAGGGCCTAAAGGAGACACTAGGGCCTAAAGGAGACACTAGGGCCTAAAGGAGACACTAGGGCCTAAAGTAGACTCTAGGGGACACTAGGGCCTAAAGTAGACACTAGGGCCTAAAGTAGACACTAGGGCCTAAAGTAGACACTAGGGCGTAAAGTAGACACTAGGGCCTAAAGTAGACTCTAGGGGACACTAGGGCCTAAAGTAGACTCTAGGGCTTAAAGTAGACTATAGGGCCTAAAGTAGACTCTAGGGGACACTAGGGCCTAAAGTAGACACTAGGGCCTAAAGTAGACTCTAGGGCCTAAAGTAGACTCTAGGGCCTAAAGTAGACACTAGGGCGTAAAGTAGACACTAGGGCGTAAAGTAGACACTAGGGCCTAAAGTAGACACTAGGGCCTAAAGTAGACACTAGGGCCTAAAGTAGACACTAGGGCCTAAAGTAGACTCTAGGGGACACTAGGTCCTAAAGTAGACACTAGGGCCTAAAGTAGGATCTAGGGCCTAAAGTAGACTCTAGGGCCTAAAGTAGACTCTAGGGCCTAAAGTAGACTCTAGGGCCTAAAGTAGACACTAGGGCCTAAAGTAGACACTAGGGCCTAAAGTAGACACTAGGGCCTAAAGTAGACTCTAGGGGACACTAGGTCCTAAAGTAGACACTAGGGCCTAAAGTAGGATCTAGGGCCTAAAGTAGATTCTAGGACCTAAAGTAGATTCTAGGACCTAAAGTAGACACTAGGGCCTAAAGGAGACACTAGGGCCTAAAGGAGACACTAGGGCCTAAAGGAGACACTAGGGCCTAAATGGGACACTAGGGCCTAAAGTAGACTCTAGGGCCTAAAGTAGAAACTAGGGCGTAAAGTAGACACTAGGGCCTAAAGTAGACTCTAGGGCCTAAAGTAGACCCTAGGGCGTAAAGTAGACTCTAGGGCCTAAAGTAGACTCTAGGACCTAAATAAGACACTTGGGCCTATAGTAGTTTCTAGGGCCTAAAGTAGACTCTAGGGCCTAAAGTAGATACTAGGACCTAAAGTAGACACTAGGGCCTAAAGTAGACACTAGGGCCTAAAGTAGACACTAGGGCCTAAAGTAGACACTAGGGCCTAAAGTAGACACTAGGGCCTAAAGTAGACACTAGGGCCTAAAGTAGACACTAGGGCCTAAAGTAGACACTAGGGCCTAAAGTAGACTCTAGGGCCTAAAGTAGACTCTAGGGCCTAAAGTAGACTCTAGGACCTAAATAAGACACTTGGGCCTATAGTAGTCTCTAGGGCCTAAAGTAGACTCTAGGGCCTAAAGTAGATACTAGGGCGTAAAGTAGACTCTAGGGCCTAAAGAAGACACTAGGGCCTAAAGTAGACTCTAGGGCCTAAAGTAGACTCTAGGACCTAAATTAGACACTTGGGCCTATAGTAGTCTCTAGGGCCTAAAGTAGATACTAGGGCCTAAAGTAGACACTAGGGCCTAAAGTAGACACTAGGGCCTAAAATAGACACTAGGGCATAAAGTAGACTCTAGGGCCTAAAGTAGACTCTAGGACCTAAAT